AATCGATATGGATCGAAACCCAGAGAGTTGGACATTAGCTCGCCTGTGCTTGTCAGTGGTGGAGAAGATCTCAATCTCATCCCTTTATCAATGTATCGTCCATCAGTTGAATCAATACGAGAAGCACAACCAGAAACTACGCCGCAACAATCTTTACCTTCATTGAGAAAGAAGTTCTCCCCATTAGCATCACATCCTGTGGACCCTGATCTAGACTCGGCTTTTGGACCTGCCGAGCTATCGGCCATCGAGGAGCGCCCCACGCGCAGACGATCGCATGTGCCCTCATCAATCATCACCAGTGAATTCCAGGTCGAGCAGTCTAGACTTCGTGCCAATTCAGCAGATACACGGCGAACACGGCACTATCTCTTCTCCAACGATCCATGGCTCACCTCACCCAAGTTGATGCAAAACCCTCAAGAGAAGGATACCGTGGTGGAGGATGACACCCCATCCGCCCCTATCTTATCGCGCCCCTCAAGCTACCTTGGAGCCCCAACGCCAGACGAGCGCCCTACATCTAGCCATGGCGAGCGCCCCAACCCAACATTCCGGAAGTCGCTCCTCGACAAGGAGCTTCCCGCACTTCCCCGTTACCTAATACCCGCACCCCTATACGCCTGCAACCGCTCTCCAACCACGAACTCGGAAGCCGAACAGTCAGAAGACGAGTTTGAAGAAGCGGATGACGAAGAGCGCCTGGATAGCTTGAATTTGGATTTGGATTTGCAATTCCAACAAAAAGCCCGCAGCCACTTCTCTACCTGGAGCAACGATTCCATCGGCTACACCTCCCCCATCTCAGACGACGATGAAATCGTCCTCTCCCCAACCTTCAGCTCCCTCACCAGCAACGACAGCGATGGCGAGATACCCCAGGGCCTCTTAATCCGCTACTCATACGCGGACCCCACCCCTTCCTCTCCAACACACCTCTCGCACCTCCTCTCCCAAATCCAGCTCCAAACTACCACAACCACCCCATCCTCTCCCTCTTCCTCTTCCTCCTCCTCCTCCAACAACGACGAAGACGAAGAAGAAGACTACGACCAAGACGATACCACCTCCACCCACCGCATCTCCACCCCACCCCGCCTCTCCGAACTCCGCATCTCAACCTTCGGCTCCGACCTCTTCTCCTCGCCCCCCTCCTCGCCCCACATCCTCTCCACAACCTCCTCGCGCCGCTCCTCGCGCCGCCAAGCCGCTTGCTTCGGCCTCGGCTTCCAGTACAGTCTGCCCGCCGACGAGACAACGAGCAAGAGTACGCTGGCAGAGAGCGAAGTAAGAGGTGTAGAGAGAATCATGCATCAGCGCAATATCAGTGTGCATAGGGAGAGCGCGGTTAGTCGCCTTGATGCCCTGATGGAGGACTTTGGCTTCCTCGGTGATGCCGTTATCTGAAAGTCCCAGATCCCACACACACACACACACACACACACACACACACACCTTCTTCCTTCTATTCCTGTGCGCTCTGCCTTACTATGCGATTATGCGCGCGCAGGTTCGACACTCATATATATATATATACCTTGATATCATGACATTACCTATCTCGAGATCTTAACGGCCGATTACAAATCTTAGAAATTCCTGAGCTTTTTTTTTCACGCGTAGCCACCGCTTCTGCTTGTTTTTTCTTTTTGATACCTTGCTGTTTTTTCTTCTTCTTCTTTCCCGGGGCGGTTGGGGGGGACTGTCCNCGCTTATCGNCCCCCCCCCCTCCCCACCTTTTTTTTCGGGCTGTCTATAACTAGCTTCTTTTATTATATATATATATATATACCATTGACGACTTTTGTTGTTGTTTATTGTAACAGCGGGATTAAGCGAGTAGTTGGGTGCAATATAACTTTGGATATCTTGATGTATCTTCTTCTTCTTCTGTGTGGTGAACATGTGTGGGTGCTGTTGTCATGTATTGTACCTAAAGCAGTAGAGCGGTGGGTGCAGAAACATTTGCATGCAAGCTTGTTTGCTTTGCAGATAATGCATGGCCAAAAACCACCATGAGAATAAGTAGATGGTCACTTTGTGGAAATAAAGTGTTACATGCGTTCCTTGTCTTGGCCGGCAACCCTTTTCCTTGTCGAACATTGAACACACGACATGTTCATTTCACATAGCAGGACGACTATATGCTGTGCAACTACGCAATGATACATCGGCTTCCACCTAGGCGGGCACGTCATAATCTTGTCCTTCAACACAAATTCATGTCATTTCCAGCTTCAAGTCTATCTGGACCCCTCTACATCTAGCTTCCCAGGAAGAGCCCGGGGAAGCTACCCTCCTCAGCATAATTGTCCACTCCTTACTGCTGGCAATATATTCCGTTTGCGGATTCAACACAGATATGACATTGTTTATGAAATGGTGTAGTTTTCGGCAACAGACTTTACGTCTTTGGAGAAGCTGATCTCTTGACCCATGGAGAGCAGGGTTACAGACGAGACCTGTAGTCTTGGTTAGCATACTCCTTCTACTGTGCCTATTTTTTTTTGAAAGCAAGCGTGATGACTATAACAAAGACTTACATCTACATCCACAAAAGGTGTGCTCTTGCTGAAGCGAATGCTCATGGGGAAGAATTCAGAGTCACTGCCGGCTTGAGCCTCAAACTCAAAGCTGCCGGAGCTGTTCGCTTCGTCAACAGCACCAATGTTCCACTCAATGCTGTCGCCGCTGACTTCATAGACAGCGTCAAAAGATGACACGTTGGGCTCGTCCGTCTGGTAAGGAATAGTGACGGTGACGTCCTTGAGCGAGTTGCCACCAGTAAGCTCATACTCGACTGTGATGTTGTACATGTTACCAGAGTCCTCAACCCAGACGCGGAATGTGATGGGTGGGTCCGAGATATCGTCTGGTCGTGGCGCCAGCTTCCACTTCATGACGCCAATACCCATGTTCGATGGGAAGCCCTTGCTTGTGTCGGCAAGCTGGATGACCTTGTCGTTCCTGAAAACTGTCTTGTCAACTTTTGGATGTGTCATAAGTTGAGCACCGCGAGTGTCTCCTGTAGCCAGGTCAAGCTTGACCTGAGTGAAAGAAGCATCAGTGATCTTGAGTTGCATCTCGCCCTTGACTTCAAACGACTTAAGAAGACCTTCGCGGTCGAGTCTCGCCGAGATGGTCTCGTTGGTGGTAATATGAACAGGTTCGCGGTCGGTCGAGGTCGATTGGCGTGCGCTCGCTGGGGCTGCTACAGCGGATGCACTTGGCTTAGGTGCAACAAGCGGCTCCTCTTCAGCTGGCGCGACCTCACCAGTCACTTGCTCGTACATGTTGCTGGTCTTGTTCTTCTTGCCGAGCTGCATACCCTTCTTGCCGAGAGCCAATGGCTTGCTCGACGCCTTCTTCTTCTCGGCTTCATACGAGTCGTAGGTGTCGGCAACGTTGGTCGTGGGCACGCTGGGTGTGAAGGTAGGATACGATGGCGACCGACCGCCCATTCCACCTCCCATGCCGCTTCCCATACCTCCTCCCATGCCTCCGCCTGCTCGCTGTGATCTCGACATCTCCTTGCGCTGCATCTCGAGCTGCTTGGCCCGGCGCTTGCGCTCTTCTGAAGCCTCAAGCTCCTTGTTCCGTGCGATGATCTCTTGAATACGCTCCTCGTGTGACTCCATGTCCAAGAAAGTCTTGATCTGGCTTATGGTCAAGTTCTCCCTGTATCCCAGTGTGACAATCTCATCAAAGGCCGTCAGAAGCTCGAAAGCGTTCTTGAGAATCTCGCGCTCGTCGAGAGACTTGCATATCGAGGAGCAGACCTGAGCGAAGAGGTGCAGAGTGTTGATGTCTTGGAGGATGTTGGATTGTAGGTTGGTGATCAAGACCATGTAAAGTTCGTCGAGGGGCTGGTAGACGTAGCGCACGTTGTCCTGTTCGCAGGTGGTATGCTGGGTTCCACTGTCGGCGAGCTTGGGGAAAGAAGCGAGGAGAGCCTCAATGCGGGAGCGCTGCATTTCCCGGAATTGGCGCGAGAGGACTGCCTTGCCGCCTCTTGTGCATATTGAAGCCGCGAGGACCACCTGGCTTCGTCAGCTTGGTGCGGGTGGACAAAGGGTCGACTGCTATGTGTCGTGTACAATTGCATACCATTGTGGCTAGTGTCTACCTGATGGTATTGGGAAGAAGGTGGGAGAGGCTGAAAAGCAGTGGTGACTTGGGTGGTAAGGTTGTGGACGTGTAGCCGCGTTGCTGGAGATGGTGGGGAATATTATTGAGACGGACAGTTGTTCAAGACAGCAAGCGTATCTTGAAGGCAGGTTCCAGGAACAAAGTGTAGCAGAGCCAACCAAAGATGCTAACAAGACCGAGTAGGTTGTCTCTGGGTATTACGAAGACGAGTTGACAGGCACCGCCTCTAAGGTGCAGCTGCACCCAGTCGCAACACCTGGAGGTTCCAAGTGGACACCTGGAGTCACGTGCACGCGCATTTGCCTAGCGCTGGCTGCCATTGTTAAGTAGCCTCTCCGGCCCATGCCCTCTACTAGTCATCACCAGCAACTCTTCAACTGCGAATCCCGCATCTAGGCAGCCTCTCTTGTGCGCTCAGATTTGCAGCCCTAAACCGATACGACAGAAACACTGACCGCTCCGGCTTTTCCGATAGGTTTACACCAAGTGCACGTAGTGTACACGTTCTGCTGCCACTTGCCCGCTCCCACCATTCTTCTTTCCCGTACTAGCGCCAACACCGCTGTGCGCACTTTGTCTCATTTCCACTGTCCTCATCACCCTCACCCTCACTCAGTCCACATCTTCACGACTGCAAAACTATCAGAGACCGCCTCACCATGCGATTCTAGCTTTTACCTGCCACAGTGCACCCACTATCAAGTTTGCGTCCCTTTATTGCGCTTTGTTGCATCGCCACCTTGTGACTTGCACCAAGCTCTGACGCGCTCCCCACGCTCCTTTATCTACGCGTTTCGACCGATATACATACCTAGACCCACAAACCCCTTTGTCGCCATCCCACAGCTATCATGGCTACTACTACGCATCCTACGCCTAGTTTCGACATCACTGCAGCCGATGACATGGACTTGCACTCGGACGATGGCATTCTCGGCTACAACGATGGTGACATCGAATTGGATTTAGAGCCTCCGCCTGCATATGGCCCGGACGATGATGTCTCTATCGGCGATGCTGCCTCGGCCAATGGAATGGATGCCCAGATTGCTCCCGGCGGTGACAATGATGATTACATGGTCGACCAGGAGGATGTCATTGAAGAGGACTATAGTTACCAAGATCAAGACGTCGATGTGGATGTGGATGTGGATGTGGATGTTGACGTCGATGTCGACACCGTTGCCGAACAGCCCGCTGCAGCCCACCCCGCCGCAACTCAGGTGGAAGCTGAAGTCCAAGATGAAGACCTACTTGACTATTCTGAAGAGGACGATGATTATCACGACACAGCGCTTCGTTCACCCTGGTTACAGCAACATGATTCTATGCAAGATGAACCGGGTCCGGTCCAGGATGCACCTGCTCAGCAAGACGAACCTCTTGAGATGCAGAATGTGCCTGCTCAGCAGAATGAACCCTCTGAGACCCATGATGCGCCCGCTCAGCAAAACGAACCCCCACAGGCGCAGGATGCACCAGTCCACCAGGACGAAATACCTGCTGATTTACAAGCTCTAATGTCCACAAACACAAGCAAAAACTCACAGAGCCCACATGCGCACTCTGACGTCGTTGCTGACGGAAGCACGAAAGGCGATAACAATGAGATCTCAACCTGTGCTCAGTCAGCTGATCCCAATGAAGAAGATGCTCAGACTGATGGTGACGATGGCGGCATTACGCTCAAAGACCAAGAGGAGCATGCAAGTGCCGAAAGTGGCCACAATCACATGCAGCCTCCTCGCCATGATCATGATGAATCTGCTCAAGTCAATGAACATGGGGAAGATGCTTCTGTTCAGCAGCTACCACCTGTCACTGTGAATTGCATGGGCGAAGAGCTATGGCTTTTCAAGCAGCATGACTATGAGAACAGTGGTGACTGGCTCCTTGCTGACGTATCAGTGGCCAAAACGAGCATGTCGGATCTTTTCCAAGCATGTCGTTCAGCATTGGGCCACGAGGTGCTGAATGGAATGGAGATTGGCTTCCGCTTTGATCACTTTCAAAACATGGAGCTGTTTGAAGAGAACACGGCTTGCGTAGCCATCTCCCTCGAACGCCTCGTGGGCTATTACCATGCGCTCCATGAACAGGATGGTAACAACGATCCAGACTCGTTTTACGTGACTTTGATGTATCGCCCACGCTTCGCTACCTTGCTCGCAGACATAGCAAGATATGCTGACAACGGACGTGGCTACTCTGGGCTCGAAGCTGCTATCGCTGCAGGCGAGACTAACTTTCATAGTGCACCTCTTGATCCTCCAGCCGAGGAAAACACCGAATGGGATACTGAGGGGCAAGAACAGGAGCAGGTCCAGGATCAGGAGCTGCAACATGGGGATGATGAGGAAGACAGCTACGAGAGAGATGCGAGTGAGCAATCAGAAGAGAAAGGTTCGAACGGACAAACGTATGAGGAAGATTTGAATGACGCTAGGCCCGCAGAAGATGCAAACGAGCAAAGCAATATTGAAAACCAGGCTCCGCAAGACGTCAATGTCCAAGTGCATGCAGGAGACCAACCTGAGCTAGAGGATCAAGACAATCAAGATGAACAGACTTACGCAGCAGCTGAGCCTCAGCAAGATCCTGGCCAGGAGTATGGCCATGAAGAGGATGGCACGCAAGACTCTGTCGAGGAAGGGGGTGTTGAGGTTGGCGAAAGCGTAGAGGCTGCGACTGAAAACGTGTCTACCGGAGGCCATGAAGAGGATGTCGATGTGGATCACGCACCACAGCCTCCTAGTTCTAGTGAAATCTCTACAAACCCACAAAGGGTTGAAGGCTACCCTGAACAGACACGCTCACAGTCTCATGAGCAGACTGCAGCGGAACTGGAGGCCCGTCGCTTGCAAGAGGAAGGCGACATTATTGATTACAGTGATGGAGAGGACGAGGAGTCCGCTGCTGTCGAGGGGGTTGAAGAAGCACCTCATACTGAGCCATCGCCCTCGCCCGCCACTGTGCAAGGCGACGAAACATCCAACGCGGAGAGGCAGTCACCTGCTGCAGGATCGCCAAGTATTGGCAAGCAAACAAACGCAGACGAGGACCAAGGCAGCTTCGACGCTACAGAAGACCCTAACGTCGACGCCGAGCAGGACTTTGACAGTGATCCCAATGAATACTGGGAATACGATGAAGCCCTTGAAGCCCTTGAAGAAGTCGACCCTGATGAGTCGCAATCGGATGAAGTCCAAAACGACAGCACCAACTTTGGGTTTGATGGCGATGCTAACCAAGACTATGGCGGCTATGAATACCAGGACTTGGTGCAACAAACAGAGGCGGAATTCACAAATGGAGAAGATTTTAATGGTGGTGAAAACACTGCAACGGATGGCGATTACTCGACGAGCGCGAATGATGTCTTGGATGTGGACAATGCGCAGTGGACTGTCGACCAGAACCTAGGCCAAGACGTTGCGGAGACGACGATGGGACATGAAGACGACAATGTCGAGGCTCAAGACGAAGAGGATGGCGTGGCTGGACAGCTCGGCAGTGCAACGTCTTCGGCTGCAGATCCTACGACGGCCTCGTCTACTGATGCCCATGATGTGTCTTCACAAGGACGCAAGCGATCTATCGACGAGGCTGGACATGGAGTGGACATTGCATCCGACTCTATAGGTACGGCGATGGCCTGGTTACCCTTGAAGCGAAACGCAAACGCTGACTTCGTATATGTAGACGCCAAACGCGCGCGAGTGTGAAGGCGCCCCGTCCTCTGAGTCTTCGGGTCTTCAGACATACTAACAAGCAGTTACATGGACACGCCATCCTGGAATCTACCCAAGTTTGAACTAATACAAGTGTATACTAACTGTAGGACCGATATTGCAATGCACGACGAGATTTTGAATTATTTTTTTCTGGCTTTGGCGAGGGGCAAAAGGTAAGAGGGAAGGTAATCTCTGGCGATTTTCCTTTGTTATACCCCGGCACCACCTTCCCGGATTGTGACTTTTGCACTGGTTTTGGTTGGCTGGCGATTGGTTTGTAGTGCGAACAACGACTGACGTGACGTTGTTTGCATGGTCGTTTTGTTCTTGATGGGGTGGAGGGGAATAGAGGGCGCGAGGCAGTTTGAGCGATATACCCAAGTGCTTCGAGGCACTTTTTGCTTTTTTTCTCCCAACGTAGCCATAAGGCCGTAGAGACATGTTGAGGCTCTCAATAAAAGACTGCAAGGCTAATGTGGGGTTTTTACTATTTGCAGCTCTTTGTGACGATTGCTCAGCGTGGCCTAGGAAATTAGGCTCCGGTTGCAGGCGATGATGACACGAATGGTCTAGGCTCTCCATAATTTTGTGACCAGGTTGTGGGGAAGAGGGTTACGAGGCCTGCTATTTTGGGGCGACTAAATACGGCATGACGAGGCGCAGTTTTTTTTAAACATTATCGACAGCCTCAGCGGGCCACGTGGTGGAGAGATGTAGATAGTTACGAGGGTGCACGACAAGAGGAGAGGGTGCACATTGACACGAGGCCAAGGGCTCTGGCATGTAATTGAGAGGCGGATGAATGGTTGGGCGTCTTGTTGGTAAGTAGTAGAGACAGAGGCCGCGTCGACTGCGTGACAAAGGGATCGGCAAGCTATGACCTTTGCGTTGAGTGAATCGGCCGTGAAACGTTGGGGCGGGCTGACTGGCGCGTCGGGGGAATCGTAGAGGGTGGCACGCCACCTGGGAACGAGCAAGGCAAGGCAAGGCCCGACAGGTGTTTCTCCTTGTTGGCGCAGACTGTCCATGTCCATCCGACGGACCAATACTACTACATATGGCTACACTCGAATACGCCCACGCTTTCTTGCCTTGACACGACGCTCGCTTGTTGTTTTCTTTTTCTGGCCTGACGCTGCTCCTTATGTACTACTACCATTACTACCATTCTCTCTATTTGTACCACTACTAGCCACTCACTCCCATTACCACCAACGACTGTGACGACCTGGCCTGCTGCCCTCATCGCATCTGTCTTCGTTTCGTCCGTTCGTTTCCAAGACGCCTTTGCTCGACACGACACAGTCAAGCACAGGTTCCTTGGCCGTGCTTTGGTGAAACACGCAGCGCCTCTGCGCAAGCATTCCCGACCCAGACTGCATCGTTGCTGCTGCAGCGTCGCCTCCTCAGCACCCTCTGCACACGCCATTACCAATAGTGCACGACGGTAGCCGCCGCGTTGCTCTGTTCGGCACTCGAGGTCACGATACGGAGGCCTATCGATAACCCGCCTGCGCCCACACTGCACCTCTGCGTCTAGCCCGCCGCCACGCCACGCTGCGCTCCCCAACCCACCCTAACTTCGGACCCCGTACACAGCAGCTTCCACCGCGCACACCCTCTCCCACACACACCTCTTCGACTCCAGTCTTGCACCGCGACCCGTCCACTCCTCCCTCCATCTTCTGGTCGCGATTCCGCTGAGACAGGTCGCATAGACCTCTACCCGGCGCCATCATGGTCGAAGACAAGTACGTTAGATGCGCCCGCACCGCCCTGCCGCCAGCGACGACGGGCCACTGACTGTGACGCCAGATACATAGGGCTCATGCTGGCCATGAGTTCGTCCCTGGCCATCGGCGCGAGTTTTGTAATCACCAAAAAGGGTCTCAATGCCTCCATCGAGAAGCATGGCTTCGACGGAGACGGCTTTGGATATCTCCAGAACCCCGTGTGGTGGGCAGGCATCATCACCAGTGAGTGCGCCTACATCGCGACACGCTGCCACTGCCCTTTGCAGCGCTGACTTGCTCTACAGTGGTACTCGGCGAGATATTTAACTTCGCTGCATATGCCTTCGCCCCCGCCATCCTCGTGACCCCCCTCGGAGCTCTCTCCGTCCTCATTGGTGCTGTCCTCGGCTCGTACTTTTTGGACGAACAATTGGGTCGTTTGGGCAAGATTGGCTGCGCAATATGTCTGATCGGCTCCGTCATTATCGTACTACACGCGCCGCCGGACAAGGAGGTTCAGTCGGTCGAGGAGATTCTGGACCTTGCTCTACAGCCTGGTACGTCTATCCCAGCTTCCCATATGCCTTTGTACAGCAGCGACTAACAAGGCATGACTACAGGCTTCCTCTTCTACTGCGCCTTCTGCGTCGTCTTCTGCGTCTTCATGATCTACAAGATCGCGCCCAAGTACGGTCGCAAGAACCCCCTCATCTACCTTTCCATCTGCTCAACATCCGGTTCCGTTTCCATCATGTTCATCAAGGCTTTCGGTATTGCGCTTAAGATGACATTTGCGGGCAACAACCAGTTCACGCATCCTTCGACATACGTCTTCGTCATCTTGGTAGTCGGCTGCATCCTCACTCAGATGAACTACTTCAACAAGGCGTTGAGCCAGTTTTCCACGAATATGTACGTCTCCATGTTACATGCTCCGTCCATATGTGCTAACTTTTGCGACTTAGCGTGAACCCCCTCTACTATGTTACTTTTACTACCTGTACACTTGTTGCTTCTTGTCTTTTGTTCCAAGGCTTCAACACCACGTCTGCGGTCAACACTATTTCTCTCCTTTGTGGTTTTCTTATTATCTTTTCTGGTGTATACCTTCTCAACCTATCGCGCGAAGACCCCTGCGCCGACCCAGCACTTGGCTCTCGGTTCGACGGTCCGCCATCTGATGCCATTTCTGGCTTCCCTACAAGACGCAGTATGCAATCACGACGCAGCGGAGATCCTTACGAGCACCAGTCGAATGGCGTTATCCGAAACAGCAGGTCTAGCTATGCAGATGCGGGGGACAGGAGCGCACTGATGCACGACTACGATGCTGAGAATCAGTTCGAGCTGGGCGATCTTGCCGGTGATAGCGATGACGATCTGGAAAGTGGGCGCAACACAAAGCGACCCAGCTTTGACGAGGAGACGCGCCTGAGTGGCAGACTCAGTGGGACAGGCAGAGGGCGGGTACAGAAAGAGTCTGTGCAACCAAAGAGGAATCATTCAGCGCGTCGATAGAAGGACGATGAAGTGTGTGCATAGAGAATTTTGCTATCCTGGGTCGTACATGGGTGTGTCTTGCCCGCTTCGTGACTTGGGAATTAGATATGGTTTGTGCAACACATTGCACCGCACAGTGGCGTTTACGGCTCTTGTTGTAGTATTGGTTTGAGGGATTGGGAGATGGCCCCCGAGTTAAAGGTGCCGGCCACTTGTATTTGTACTACGATAGCATGACATGGATACCCAGAGGAATCCCGGCGATTATGCTGGGTATCATTTCTCCACAGATGAATACCAGACATTCATATTCCGAATCATCAAGACGCGTACGTTTGTGCAACCATGAAGCTGAGGCGGCCAGATGGGGATTGTGGCTACTGTGTCAAAGTGCTAACTACCAGAATATTGCCCCGCGTCTCCTTTTGGTGTGACAAGGCACGAGTAATCTGCGAACGTGATAGCGCGACTGCGCTAGTCATGTTCAGACTAGAACGCGCTTCTACAAACAAATCATAAGCACTGAATACACACCCCAACTTCTTGCCCTTTCCACACAACGGCCCTCGAGGCCAGCAAATCAGCAATCATGGTGACTGCAAACCCATCCCAAGAGCGGCAGCTGCTGCTACAGGCGGAAAAGACCCTATTACATCCAATTCACCCGCATCTGATATCCTACTGCCCTAGCATGGATCTTGTTGCAGTAGTCACGGATGAAGAGAGTCTCGATGTCTACAGAATCAACGGCCAAAGAGCTTTTGGTCTGAAAAGAAAGAGCGAGGATGTGTGCGTCGATGCCATGCAGTGGGAATTCAACGGCAAAAGTATCGCTGTTAGTTGGAGCGATGGGAGCACAGATCTGATCAGTGCAGAAACAGGCAAGGTTACGCACAAAGATGTCATGCTACCGGATGTCGAAGAAGGAAGTGGTAGCATGACGGAAGAGGCTCCAGCACGGGTCAAGTGTATGGGCTGGGGTCTGAACTTCATCAATGTCGATGCTGTAAAAAAGAGGACAGGCTTAATGTCCAAGACGAATGGCGCCACTTCTGAAAAGACTGATGCATTCGGGAACCCTACAACCGAAGACTGGGATGCTTTCAAGGACGACACAACGTTGGAGGATTTTCTGCAGCGACAGCCAGATTTCCAAACTTTGGATATTGCACCCGACCTGCCAGATCAACTTGCGATGATGGACGCGGAAGCGCTATTGCCCAAGCTTCCTGCGATACCGCTCCCACCAGCACTACCGTTCATGCGCATATCGCAGGCAGATTCCGGTGCGTTTGGTTCTCAAGCCGAGGTGGATTCGTTACTGCATTCACATCACTTGAAGGATCATAACTCTGTGGACATGTTCATCCGTTTGTCTGACCGAGGGACCGTACATCCATCAATATACGATTCGCTAGAAACGGTCAATGTCCAACTGCCAAAGGCATGGAACACACTACAGATGCCGCTGTTACATACAAGCCATCCATACAGCTGTACTCACAGCCTTTTGATGCGGACAATCTCTGCCGCATCACCAGCAAGAAAGAGTATCGCCTTTGTTCCGCTCACCCTCAACTTCATCCCTACCGCGGGAATCTACCTCCATCTCATAGCCGCAAAAACATCACAGTTACAGAACCTTCTTCTATATATCACACAAACCCTGCAACGGATCAGAGCTTTCTTCAAACACGCGCAAGATTTACCGCGCAAGTTTATGATGAACATCAGCGAAACCCTCGAAGAGAAAGAGCTGGGAGACCTAGTCACGAATCTGTTCCATATAGCATGTACAGGAAATTGTAACCCTACAATGAAAGAATGGCTGGTCGACGAGTTGGCAGAAGCAGGCCATAAGCGTTGGGACACGACTGTCACATCGTCCTTTACAACACTTCTTGCCCTTCTTCACGAGAACCTTATCCCAGCGTTGGACCGCTGCTCCATTGTCATATCACGTTTGCGCGGTCTTGCGCAGTTTCATGATCGAGACTGGATCTTCAGCGGACCCATCACCGACTTCTCAGCACTTCTAGAAACGCTGAAAAATATGAGGCTGCTCGCTCATACTGCTATGCTCTATGCAACAGAAGAGAAGCGCCAATTCCACAGCTTCAGCAAGTGGCTGCGTTTCACTATCGATTTCCAGGCTACAGAGCCGGAATCTCAATCGCGCGTTGAAATGGAACAACGGGATCCGGGAGTCGATGTATCACAAGTCCTTGCATATATCCAGTATGGTCTCACCAAATCTGATGTTGCTCTCTACTTGGGGCCGGAAGCTCAGTTAGATCCTAAAAGTCGAGAGAAGGAGGCAGCAAGCTATGAAGACACAAAGAGGGCGATTGCGTTATTGAAAGAAGGCGCGACGTTCAAGGAAGAGGCACTGTGTTTGGAACATGTACTGCGACATTTGGCAACAGGTGTAACGGGCTTACTAAAACAAGTGAGCAAATGGCAGCAGGCCAATATTCAAATGGACTCGGGGCTTGTTCTCGAAGACATGGGAGCTGAAGATGAGGAATCGAACATTGTGACAGATATGCGAATGGTATCTGAGGTAAGTAGAATATCCCCCAAGTCCAACGTCAACTACAATACTAACTTCTCAAGAAACCTTCCGACACAGCCTCTTCCGACACCATATCAACCTATATCCTCTTCTCGTCAAAATCCACACCAGCCCACTTGCACATCCACCGCCTCACCCACACCCAGAGTATATCCCACCTAGCGCGCGATCTCCACTCCCACGCCATATCCACACTGGACTTTAGCACGGAAACCGACTCCTCGACCAAGATCCTCGACGCCAAATTCGCAGATGACGAAAACTTGCTGGTTCTGTTACAAACCACACAGTCAGATGGCGACCGCAAGAAACACTCCAAACCAACAAACGTCATCGTCTCTCTGCCTTGTACACATACTACTGTGCCGCCACCGATTCACAAACAGCAGCACCACCAGCACCAGCATCAAAAAGAACAGCTGATATCATTCACCCCCCTTACTTCCCCCGCTTCAGTCCCATCTTGCCTGCTCCCTCAAGGCAAACCCGTGTCCCTTTCCTCTCGACACACCATCCCTGTGGCGCCAGAGGACATAGAAAAGCACACGCGCCACGTATTCGAAGGCCGTTTCACGCCCCTCAAGTTGGTGGTTAACGGGCGAAAGGACAGGAGGGTAATTGTGGTTTTGGGAAGCGACAGGAAGCACTATAGGATCTTGGATATGGATTACAGTGTCAAGAAGAAGAGGAGGAAGAGCAAGGTCAGTGCACATGTGGAGGACGACAACGATGACGACAGTGGGAGTGATCAGGATGGACATCAAGGGTATACAAGTCAGCACGTAGATGGGGATGTCGAAATGGGTGGGGCATAGTGCTGTCATGTCAATTTATTACACTTGTAGTTACCACAAGACCGAGCTTCAATACATCATATCAAGCACACATGCACACACACTTTCAAAAGTACAGACCAGATGCATTTTTATCGGAATCACATTCCCTAAAGAACCTATCATGCATGCAAGCCACAGTAGGGAAAAGCCTAGCTTGCCGACAAGTTTCCATTTCGTTATAACGCCCGGCCACCCGCACAGAGAGGTATGGAGAGAATAACCGACCGCATCATCGTCGTTCCTGTCGTTGAAAAACGCCACCACATCACAGAAAACCACTCTAGTCCTTTGTCTTCTGAGTACCACGGAGCAGACCTGTCCTCCGCGCGGCAATGAGACCGGCCTTTTGACCCTGGGTGGCGTATCGGGAGATGGTCGAGGCTTTACCGATATGCTGGTGGTTACCACCACCGTGGGGATGGTCGACGGGGTTCATGGCAACACCACGAGTCTTGGGCCAGCTGTTGCGCTTGGCAGCGAACTATGGTTTTGTTAGAAACTGAAGCTCATCGATTCGACAAAGATAAAAACGTACCTTGTGCTTGGCGCGCGACGCCTTCATGAGAGGCTTGTCTGTACGGCCACCTCCAGCGACGATACCGACCATACCACGGCATGAGCTGGGAAGAACCTTCTTGGCACCGGATGGGAGCTTGACACGGGTCTTGCCCTCATCGGGGTTGTGGCCAATGACAGTAACGTAGTTACCGGAGGTACGGCCGAGCGCACCACGGTCACCGTTCTTGTCTTCGACGTTGGTGAGGACGGTACCTTCAGGGACGGAGTGGAGGGGAAGGACGTTGCCGATGGTGAGAGCAGCGTTCTTTCCGGCGTAGATGAACTTGGGTGGGTGTCAGTCTGCTGTTCTTTCCCCCGCGCATGATTTCCATGTGGAAATTTCCAAATACTGACCTGGCCGGTGTACATTCCCTCGTTGGCGATGAAGGTCTCGGTGTCGTGCTTGAACTTGTATGGGTTGCGGAAGGAAACCCTGGCAAGAGGAGCGCCTATTCAAAAAATGGTCAATTGGAGTCCTAAATTCCGCATTCTGGCACCAGTTACTCACCACGACCAGAGTCGTGGACGATCTCCTTTACGACACCCCGGATGTATCCATTGCGCTCAGCCTGTGCCCGTTAGCCCTCCGTTCCCAGTGTATGCGTATCCCAATTTTGCCATAGGTCGCGGGCGGCGGAACATACGTAGTCGAGCGTGCGGAACTGGGCGGGGTTCTTGTTCAGGCGGGTGTTGGCCGTGAAGATGGATCCGCGACCCTTACGCTGGTTGCGAATTACCCTACCCATGGCGACGGTGTTGTTGTGAGTAGGAGGTTGTCGTGGGAAATCTCAAAGTCGTCAATGAGCGAGAAACCAAAGTGTGTAGATCCGCTTAGCAAGCCGTTTTGGACCTAGCGTCCACACGGGCCTCCAACTCTCGCCTTGCGCATTTGCGCCGCCATGACCGAACATCAGAACATCAGAACATCAGAACATCAAAATAACGGTACGGCTTCACTGGGGTATTTTGTCAGAAAAGGTTCACTGGTTGGATTTGAATGGGATAGTTGTAGGGAGCGACACCTTGGTGGGCTGCACGCCTGTCATCCTCTACAATAGTTTTGCACACGTGCTCTCTATCTCGAACCGTCATGCTATCGGCGTCTGTGATCAACACAGCGAGAGTCGGGTCATCTCACTGTTGACTTTGACTCAAATGCAATCTCCAGCCATTAAGCTGCTACCATAAATTTCTGTCTTCATAGGCAGGGTTGCTTGTCATTGCGACTGCTCTACTTTTTTTTTCCAGAGCCTGCAATGAGGTTGATGTTACTGCAGACATCAACGGATTATTACATTGTGCAAGTCAGTATGGTGACGATATCGTCAAATTTTTTGCCGCTTCTCTTGGAAGTACAATCATATAGCTTTCGATTGTGAGACTGAAGTGTTGATGAATGCAAGTTTACTAATTGTAGCCTTCGACGCGGCTGTGCTCAGCGACAAGAGTCAGATTAGACTGCCTATGTTGATCGACATTGCTGTTGTCGCAACATCCTGCAGAATGGCAACAATCAAGGTCTGTAACGAATCACTGTCTGTAGCAGTGCCAGAAATTCCAGGTACATTTTGTGCGCTGCTGAGGAGCTCAGTGGCGTGATAATAGTCAGCCTACGAAGACTACCATGAGTAGAGCTCTGCACCGTAAACACTCCACACAATCTTTTCACCTACAGTTCTTCTAATCAGTATTGAAGCGATGGTATGCAGCATTCTAGATTTCCCTAATGTACCCCTATAACTCAGGAGATCTGTAGTGCAGCCTCATCAGTCCTCATCTCCCACCGCCTTAGTCAGCCAGAGGGGGGAAGGGCAAATTAGATATGTCTCAGGGGTTCCAAGGTTCTGATGTACCAAATGAGGGCATATCTTCTGATTATGTCGTTACTCGACGATCAAACCATCTCCTATACAACTGCTGTTCGTGTGTCTGCCATTTGCCCCAAAACAAGAGATTTGGTACAAACGCCACGATGAGAAAGAAGGGACTCTCACCTCAACCATCGCCAAAAAAACGCATTTAACCAGCCTTAACCTGAACCAACACCAACCTCAGATTCCGCAACAATGAAACTGTTGAGGTTATATCATGTGTGTTGACGAACGGGATGACACAGCGGCACAAAGGCAACCCCCCCCCCTCCCCTGCTCAATTTATATGAGCCGCCCCGTCCCGAAATCTTTTTTTCCCACCCAATATTTTCTATATGTGGTCTCAAGTAATCAAGTAAGCAAATAGCGACAAAAAAGAGACTTATTTTGCCCCCCCCTCCTACCTGGCCACGTGGTGTGTCACAATGCCTGTTAAAAACAACAACAAGAAGAGCCGCTGTATATTTAAACTTTAAGCAAGACTTTTTAGGTTTAGGAAATTTGCTTTATTGGGGAGGGAACGCATCTGACCCGATGCCCGGGTACCCACTTGGTTAAGAACCTTCGCCACCAAAAGGGCGTTTTAAGAAGATGTGTGTGTGTGTCTTGATATTTGCCCGATAAATCATCCTGCCACCGGCTGTTCAGCCCCAGCCCAGCCAACCTAGCCTTGTTTTAAGCAACACAATGTTATGTATCTCCGTCCACGCGCCGCCGCCGACATCCGAGCCCGCGTTTGGCAGCGGTAATTGGAAGTCTCACCTGTTTACTAAGTAAGATGGGGCAGCCAGCATCGCTAAGAATATATATACTTTTGTGAAAACCTAGAACAATAAATTTAAGTAAGAAAAGGAAAAAAAAAGTCACTTGTCACAATGATAAGAAACACAGAAGATGAGGAAGTTTTTTTTTCGGTTCATAACCGGGCAATTGCTATTGTCATCCAAACGAGGGAGAAACAAGACAATGTGTATATTCAGGGTTTCCCCGTTCCTACAAGAAACGAGTAAAAAAAAAAGTATGTACAAGCCAGGGTGTGTCAAGGCCCTGAACAAATAGAGAAGAAAGAAAGATAAACACCAATGAATCAAGCAACAGCAGCGGCAGCACCCCCTAAATCAACACCCCTACAAAGCTCTTGAAGCTATCATATTTCCTCTCCTCTGGAGAGGAATTGATGATTGCGCAAGCCAATGTTTCACAAATCTCCCGAACCCCTGGTTCATTCCCCTTGAGCCAAAGAACGGACCGCGCCCACAATTTAAGCAGCGGAGACAGTGTACTGGGACTTTCCAGCAGCGTTGCCCCAGCCCTCAGTGGAGATGGTCTGGTAGTCCCACTGGTTACCAAGGTTCATGCCGAGCTTGGCCCAGGCGTCGAAGTGGCACTTGGTGGTGATGGTACCGCCGGTGGAGCGCTTGCTGACGCGGTTGCTGATGTACTGGACGAAGGTGGTCGTGCCGACGATGGAAGGCTGGTTCACCTGGGTGTGCTGCCAGATGTCGTAGACGGAGCCGTCGCAGGTGACTTGGCCCATCTTCTGGCCCTGGGCGGAGCCAGAGCCGCCAGAGGTGAAGTCCTGGATGTAGTACTCGACGAGCTTGCTGCCCTTGGTCCAGCCGTAGAGAGCGACGAGGACAGTACCGGCCTGGGCCTGGGTGGAACCAGTGTACTTGACGGTCCTGAAGGAAAGGAGTTAGTATTGATTGATATTTGGGTCTAGAACACTGTGTGTGGCTTACCTGGTAGTACCTTGCCTCCAGCCCTTGCCAAGGACGAAGTCCTGGGCGCCAGAGAAGGTGACGGAGTAACCGTTGCTGGTGGGGTTGTACTGGATGTTACCACCAGTCTTGTAGTTCTGGTTGTAGTCCTGGCGGGCAGCCAAGTGCTTGGGGCCGGAGAACTCGAAGTCAGGGACATCGGCAACGGGGGCGGCGAAGGCAGAGCCAATGGCGGAGAGGCCGAGGAGGACGGAGGTGAAGGCAACCATTTTGATAGATTGAAGATTTGTTTGTGTTTGTGTGAAAAGAAGCTGGTTCTCGCTAGGAGTGAATTGAAAAGAGGGTGAGTGAAGTAAAGACTGCTTGAGTGTTGAAGATGAAAGGCTTGGTGGTGAGCTTATTCGGTCTTGGAAGTCTTGACCTATATACTTAGAGACGGTTAAAGAGCGTGGGTGCACACCGCAGGAAACATATTGCGGTTGTTTCACCCGCTGTCTTCCTCCCTGTGTCATGGGGCCACCTCTCGCCCCTCGTTGCCCATGGATGAATCGTCTGAATCGTTCTACACTAGTGTCTTGATGTATTCGTATCCAATGAGCGCAATCGGCCCTGCCCCTGGGCGTGATGCTATCCCGCATTTCAAGGCGCGTGCCAAGTCGCCATCCCGACAGTTAATCAAGCTCCATCACGGCGGTGGATACTTCATATAGACTTTTGTGGGGAAGCCGCGCGCTGAGTGGTCCAGTCGTGCAGGGATTGTCTTGCTTATTTACCTCGGCAAAAGGCTTGGGCAAGGCTTGGATCGCTTGTGTTTCCTTGTCGATGAAAAAGGATGTTACCGGTGGGTATAGTGTTATGCAATGGCAGCTTGTCTGTAAATGAAATATGGACGTGTCTGGTTTGAGGTAAGTGGCGGTGCGTCATGCGTCCCTATGCCATTGCGCTGGAACGGGAGACCCGCCGCGCAACCTTCTCGGTACTTCACCGGCACACCTTAGATACTACAATATGTTCGTCGTCCGTGCCCCGCGACTACGGCTATTCGAAATACGGTGCGTAAACCGGTTGACAGCACTGCCTACTGGCTAGGTAGGTGGCTAAAAACTGTCGGCCCTGTTAGGGTACAAAATGTAGGTAGTAGTCACTTGTAGTCTTGGCTGTAACAGGACGTCGTAACCCGACCCTCTGTGCAATTCACCACCAACTGCGTCTCCCCCCTCGAGGCAATCATCCAATGCGCCTATGAACAATTCTCATGCATTGGCCAATATTCTCTTCATGTTTCTCAAACACTACGGGCTCTTGTGGATATGAAACATTGATACGCCACAAGCTAGTATGATGCTTCCAGAATATAGTACTACATGAATCGCGCCCGGCACCCAAGGCCCCAAGCAGACTAGCATAATCGATGGAAAGCTGTAACAGGACCTAAATACGGATCTCTACTTCCTAATACCGGCGGGATAATCGGTTTCAGTGATCGAATTTGGGTAGACACAGCCGTAGGGCGGTCGGATGTGTGTAAATCGTTTGACACGCGTGAAACTACTAGCACTTCCCCACTCTCCAAAACATCGCTAATTTCCGACATTCTTCTCGAATCTGTTTGCCGCTTGTGCCTGGGCTCCTCAAGGGGCTCACTCGTGTGTTCCAGACTCTACGCCATCTTTTCAACTGTCGCCAGAACCGATTTACACACGTCTACTCTCCAGCCTGTGATGATTCTGAAGCAATTGTATTGAAAAGTCCAGCGGCTACGACGTAACCGATGACATCGATCTAATAGGCCAATCCGCAACGACGCCGTGAAACCGCCACGCAAGCCCTGGCCAAATGTCGCCTGATATATGCAAGCATAATGAATATGCATAAACAACTGAAAACTCCGACTATGCCGGCTATTTGCCAACAGCCTATTGAAGACAAACGCCACGGTGAACAACGCAAGCATCCATCTATCCTTCACCAAACCCCGCTTTACCGCCGCGTACCCTCGATAGCCTTCTCCAAACCGACGATCCTCAAGCTCTTCCCCCTTCCGAGCTTTCCGCTCATGAGACCCGCTGCGGGAATAAGCTTGTCGTCCCAGTGACGGAACAGCACCTTCATATCACGAGGAACACCTTCTAGTACAACCGTGGTGACGGGCATAAATGGACGGTCTTCTTCTGACACGGCGAGCATACCGTACGCTTGCGCAAACATGAGAGCAGTCGAAAATGCAGGCGCTTGAGTGCGGGACAAGGGGCCAACAATACTGCTACATGTTAACACACGTCCACATATATGATATCGTGTCACGGCTGACACGCAAAAACAGGAGAACTTACATGTACATCTCAAAGAAGGCATCAAGTACATAGATGTTTTCCGGCTCCAGGTCTCTCTGCGAGAAAGGCATGATCTCTTTGATCTCCGTCTTGATAGTACCCTGAGGTGACTTGGGCGTGAGTGGCGTCTGTGGCCTTTGTTCAGCAGCGTTCCAAGATGGTCTTCGTAGCAGCGGCGCGAAAAAAGAGCTGCTCACCTGGAGTGCTTGGCCCCAGCCTGCCTGTTGGCTGGTCGTTTGTTCGATCTTATAGAGACGCGCCCGATATTTGTCGCAGGTGGCCTTGTAGCGCCAATGGTCTGCCGAGCGAGGGATGACAGGACCTTTCGAAGGGACTGGTGAAGGTGGGAAGGTTTTGTTGAGAAAATCATGAGGTTCGGCTCCTTCATCGATCTCATTGTAGTCACCAGTGGGTGCCAGGTCCATGCCCATGAGGCGTGCACCAGACAGCTCCTCAGCGGAACATCCACGACCCTTCCACAGATAGACTTTACCTGCGGCGGTGGTGATCAGGTAGGGAAATGCCGAGCAGAGACTCTTGAGTGAGAAGTCGACTTCGTCAAATGCAAGGTGACCAATATGACGACGACCACATAGCATGAACTCTTTTGATCCAGGCTTCACACCACGCCTGGTGATGACAATGCCACCTAGAGCCTCGAAAAAGTTTGGGGTCTCCTGTCCTTGCCGAATGACCAACAACCGTCCTTGGCTTTGACGTGCGTGGCTCTTTGCAAATATCTGCACATCTTCTATTGTAGGCTCTGGTACACCATTGCCAGCCCATAGGTAGACGTCGGTATGTCTGGTTCCCTTGGAATCTTCGTACACATGTGTACACAAATACATTGAGTCTTGGAACAAGATGTGCTCCTCCTGCACTGGAATAGGCAAAAGCTTTCCGTCGCTTGTCACTTCGTCTATCTGCTTGCGTACAGTACGGATCTTTCCTGTGGGGCCCAAGTCAAATGGCGGCGACTTGAGAATGTCCATTGTGTCGATATGCTCTGGTAGCTGGCCTTCTGTTACTGGGTCTTCGTCAAAGAAGTCTGCAAACATGCCATCATTCTTCTTTGTGGTTGGCGACGTGACGGGAGGCTCAGAGAATGGCCTGTTTGCACTTCCCGGTGGTGATATTGGTGTGCTCTTGGGCAGCTGAGAGAGTGATTCTCGTGACCGAGATGCGACCAGTCCACCTAAGCTTCCCAGGCTGAAGCCCAGCCCCACAGGCTTTGGCTTTGGAGGTAGTGCCTTCGCTTCATTAGGAGATTGAGGGTCAGCTTGAGGAAGGCCGGGTAGAGCTTTCGAATTCACCTCAGAGCGAATTAAGCCAGCATCCTTCATTGCAGCTTGCTCATCTGCTTGTGTAGGAAGTTTAATGGGTGACTTAGCTCCCGTTGGCACAGGTGATGAAGATGCAGAGGATCTGCCCCACAAAGCGCTAGCATTCTTGACTGATGAAAATGTTGTCTTCTCAGGTGACGAATCATCCTTAGCGTGTGAGATCTCGACATTGGGGGTTGAAATTTTCTTGAGCGGTGTCGACTTGGGACTCTCTGCTGTTGACTTGGGCGGTAATGTGGGCAACGGTCGCGAAAATCGAGAATGAGGAGATGGAGAGGGAGAGGATGACGCCAACTTTGGTGACTCAACCTGTGCTGGTAATGGGGACTTTTGTGTTGGGGTGCTCTGCGACCCAGACACCCGCCTCTCCGCTTCCAGAGATGCAGGTTTCTTTGGAATGACTGGTGATGAAGGCTTGGATGAGATGATAGATTCTGGTCTAGGTGAGGCTCTGGGCGTCGTTTGAGATCCGGAGATCCTCTCTGGCTTCTTCGGGAGCTCAGGGGTTGGAGATTTTCCAAAGTTTCCAGAAGATACCCGTGGTGATTTGGCTGGTGGAACAGGCTTTTCGGTCGCTGACTGCCTGGCAGGCGTCCTCGCTACTGGTCGCTGCTCTGGTTTTCCGTTAGTCTTAGGAGGCTCAGAGCTAGAGAGGACAGGCTCGGAATTCACCAAAGGCAGAGCAGCAGTAGCAGCAGCAGTAGGCACTTCCTCTTGAGCCTGTTCCGACTCAACAGCCGCCTTTTTCGAGGCCGGTGCCCTTCGCTTAGGTCCACGGGCGCGACCTTTGGTCATATGTTGCAGTTCTGGTGCAGGTCCGGTGTTTCTCTCTTGCGCCGGCCTGGCAGTTGACCCATCTACCTCAGCACTTGATGTAGATTTGTCAGTCGCTTGAGAAGGTGGGCCTCGAGCGAGCATACCGGCTAACGCAGGGTTGAAACGATTCGCAAGCTTGCCAGACATGGCTGGTTCTTTCTTGGCAAACAAAGGCGCAGGTTGCGCAGACTGCGCAGACTGAGCAGACTTGTTATCTGGCATAGGCCGAACAACTCCAAGACTCTTCCTTCTGGCGAGAGCTTCCGGCATGGGCTCCTTCTCTTTAGGTGGTGCCGGAGCTCTGGCTTCACTATCTCTGCGTTGCAATCCTTTCTGCTTTGCGATAGCCTCCGGGACAGGAGCAGAAGGTCTTGAGCTCTCTGACTTCTTCAGCACAGAGCCCTCTTCTTGAGCTTTATCAAAAATGGTTGATTTCCTCTTGATGAGGCTCTCCCTGAATTCATCTTTTCGGACCGAAGGCTTAGGGCCCCCGGTTATGTTCAAAGCTCCTTTGCCTCTTGTAATGTTTTCTTTGAGGATATCGGGGGCAACGTAATTCTTTGTCTCTGCTTTTCTTAACCTACCAAAGACATTTTGGAATTCGTTGACTTCGTCCTTCTTCGAGCTATCAGATGCAGGCTGACGTGACTTGAGCCCCGCACGGAAATCCGTCTTTGGCGTCGTATCTGTTTTTGCAGGTGAAACACTGCGGCCAGTATCTGCGGCGAATCTTGAAGCTACGGGCTTGGTGTCCACTGAAGCGGGTTCTTCGGTCGC